TTCGTGCACCACATTTCGACGAGGGATGAAGTAGCTTTAAAAGTGTTCCATCTCCTTGTCGAGGTCTTGACTCTCTGTGTCGGAGAGCTTGAAAGCCTGTAGGATGTCTTCAGCTGTGGTCCCATTGGTGTGACTCGGTTTGAGAGTGAGAGGCCAGTCCTGATACACTGTGGAAGCACTGGAATCGCTTTTTCCACGCCGGCCATTCGTTCGGTGATGTTTTGTGCAATAAAATAAAATATAAACGGAACAAGATCAACTGATACTGCAAAATTAACTCCTCAATATTAAACATTGCTGCGACGAGTGGCAAAGGGAGTTAAACCATCAAAAATAAATCGTTATGTCTACAAAAAAAAAAAAAAATCTAAATTATGATTATACTTTACAGGTGACACAGGCCTACCTTGTGTAGATGAAAACAAGTACTTAGGAGTGATCTTTACAAGCGCCTTACGATGGAATACTCACGCGGAAAAAGTATCCAGAAAAGCTAACAAGGCACTACGGTACCTCAGAAAAAATCTTGCAAGCGCTTCGCCAGAAATAAACATTAGCTTACAAAACAGTGGTGAGGCCTGTTCTTGAGTATGCAAAAATAGTGTGGGATCCATACACAGTAACTCGTCCAAACTTGATAAAGTTAAACTGTTTGCTTCCAAGTTTATCTTGAATAAATATAATCGTAGCCATTCCCCCAGCGAATTCTGTAGACTTGCTGAACTTCCTTCTCTTGAATTGTCGCAATCTGAAACATGACCGAAACATGCAGTCTATTCAGAATCGTATCGGTGCACTTTGCCTAAAACAAGCGTTGAAAAACCAATAAAATAGCCCAGTGTAATCAAAAACTACAAGGAGCCCTTTTACATTTGAACAGCCACCTCGTAACTGACCGTTGTTCCGGCCCTCATCACGTAACACCGTCTTACTTAGTCAACCTAGATTGATAACGAGTGTGGAACAGCCTTCACCGCTCGCGCGCATTTCTGCGTGTGTCACTGTGAGGGAATCCGACCGTCGCAACCTTGACGTATGTTTTTTTACATTATTATTATTTTTTTGTGTAAATTTGTATATACTCTCCGTCGCTGTTCAGATTCCATTCATGGGGCGTGTCTAAAGGAAGTCAGAGTTATTTCTCCACGAGGATTTGACGCTTCCGTCGAGCCAGCGTCGAGCGGACATGGAGCGCCATCTGGGCGAAACGAAGCTAGACGCTCGCGTTACGGCAGTACCTGTTTTTGCGCGCTTAGTTTGAAAGTGCGACGTGATGCCGGAATACCTAAAGTCATTACGGCAATATGTTTTACAGCATGCCAGACATTTAACTTTTCTTGAGCCGTACAATAAAGTTGTGCAAGCTCACGCCGAGTTGAATAATTGTTTTTATGCATGGTGCTTGCGTTGTTGTTCATAACACAAGGCAGTGAACAAGGGGCGGCTTGATCGGATTGTTTCTCAACGCGTCCGGTGTCAAAAAAAAGGGCAACTTTAGGAAGGTCTTGCTACCGATCGATTGGACACGAGAACTTCGTTACAGTTCTGTAGAGAGTTCGGACGTTCGGGGTCGAGAACGGGTCGGGTCCAGTGATTGCGACCGCGAGTCGTCTCAGGGTTGCGAGAGCTCCCCATAAGATGGCGCTACCTGTTGAGCCAAGCTTCATTGCCCGGTCGGCGAAGAACTGCGTGCGGAGAAGTCACCTGGCTCCAACAGTGAAATGGATATTTAATCCATACTCTGCTGTAACTCGTTTTATTATGTGGAACGCAGTGTTTTGTTTGTACTTGTACAGACAAAAAACATGTCCGTTTTTGTGAAAGGTAAAGGGCAGCGTCCAACTTGCCGCCTCCAACGGAAACACGTTTATTGTTCGCGTTTGAAGGAAATTGAACTCGGTTATAATGGTTTTTAATCAATCAATTAATCAACCAATCATGTTTTTTTCACATTTGATTATCAAAAACAAAGAAACACTGTATAACAGTGTTGGAGGAGGATCAGATAAACGGCGAAGACAGGAGAACACATTCTCGTCGTCCCCGTCACGCTCCATTCCACGACTGTATAACTTATCTGGATCGGAATGTTGCGCCCGAATGGTTGTTTTCTTAACTTTAGGGCACACTGAAATAGGTATGAACTTTCGGACCTTTAGAATATCATGTCAAATATAACGGGTTCAAGTGGAAGCTTTCTAAACATCCGGACGTTTTGAAATAATCTCGGGCATTCGGTACTTTGTCAGGAGCTCCGTTGGGGGCGCTTTCCCCGCGACACGGCTGCGATGCGGCGAAGCGGTTTCGCAGACAGCGCTGTCGCGGGAGTCGCTTTCCCTCGTGGCGGTGTGCACGTGGGGAAAACACATCCTCCAGGGAGGTTTGTTAGCGCGGATTTTGATTTTTGTATGTGTTGCATAACATTTTTGCCCTGAAGAGTCGCACACAATAGAGCGACTATAACGAAGGCCTTTTGGAATTATCTGCTGTTCTTGAGCGCTCCGAACGCGGGGATTATCCTTTAGTAATGTTTTCTAATTATATTTGTTTTGTTATGCACATCATTAACTTGATTATTTAAAGAATATAAATCTTGCCTCCTTTTTAAATGAATTAACCTTGTAGTGTACTATGCATTTTGTTTTATTAAACCCACTTTTCTTCATTATTGCTAAGCTTTTCACTCGTGGCTTTATTGTTTGGGGGTTTGTGAATCGGATTTGTGGTAGCTGGCCCATACTTTATGTCATATATATATATATATATCAGGGTGTCGAACCGGAACCGAACCGAACCGAAAACTGGAAACGAACCGGTATTTTTTCCGGAACTGAACCCGAACCCGAACCGTTATATTGTTATCGCGATGAACCTGAACCGGAAAAAAAATAACGGTTACCGGCTCATGTCAAAACGGTTCGGCCACGCGCTGTTGACAGTGAATGTGCTATCAATGCCATTTGTTTTTTAAGTGCCGTCAACTGACACACATCTCGCTTACATATTTTTCTTCTCCACTCAGTCTTAGGAATATAAACGCTGCATCCATGAATCTTGACAAACGCTGCATCCATGAATCTTGACATAGGAACCAGTATTGCGCTGGTCGCGGCTTGCACGGAAGAAAGAGAATTGGAAAACTGTGCAAAAAAAAAAAAAATCGCGTCACGGGATTTTATTTTTTTACAATCTCGTAAATCCTAAATGCTGCTGTGTGCTCATTTCATAACCCGTTTCTAGAACGCGCGAGTTCTTGAAGCTTGCTTCCATCGGAATGAGAAAAGAAAAGGCTGTGGAGTTTGATAATAATGCATCCGGTTTCGGATAGGCACTTAGAAGCTAACATATTTGTGAGACAGCGAACTCTTCTATTTTAATATTTATCCTATTACGTCGTTCTGGCGTTGCGTTCGGTGAAGTGTTTTTCATATTCCCTATCTTGTTTAATGAAAACTTCTTTAAGGGTCTAATTGGAGTTACCGAAGGCTAGTTCAAATAAAGAAAGCTGTATTTTCTCCCCACTGTTCCTTCAATTGCTTACACGCCGAGGTGGCGGGATAGTTAGCGAGTTCTACTTGTAAGTGGGTTTGTAAGGAGGTCGCGGATTTTACAGCTACTGCGTTGGACCCACTTAGATGAAGTCCGAATGCGTAAACGTCGGTGAGGTAACCTTTGAGTGCACAAAAAGAAACCATTCCTGGTAGAAATCCCTGAGCCTTACACTACAATGTATCCCGTTTCGTATGTGCTGATTTCAGATGTTTTATTTGTAATTTATTTTGATGTTGCAATTTGTCATTTATAATTTCCGAACCGGTTCGCGAACCGGTTCGCGGTTCGAATTAATCGAACCGGAACTGAACCGGAACGAAATAAATTTACCTGAACCTGAACCGTAACCGAACCCGTATTTTTTTCGGTTCGACACACGGATATATATATATATATATATATATATATATATATATATATACATATATATACAAGGAGGTTTTTTTAAGCTTTACAGTTTTGTTTAAAAAAATACTGTGAAAGCTAAACTTAACGCGTTTTGTTCAGATGAGTTATACGGCCAGGGGGACATAGTATAAGGTGCTGATCATAGCGATCAGTCGACTAATTGAGTAAAATTTGTTAATTAACTTTTTCATTACTGAAGATAATCTTATGGTTTCAATTAGAAATTTGCTCAGCGTCATCGAAAACCACTAAATCAGTAATTTTTAGAAAGACTGAGCGCGTGAGAAGCGTAGTAGTGCGCTAAAGTTACCACTCGTGGAGCAGGTACAAGGCTGGGGCTAGATAAGAGACGGAAAAATCGCGCGGGCGCCTTACCGCAACCGCTAGCCTTGTACCTGCTGCACGAGCTGTAGGTTCAGTGCGCTACTACGCTTCTCACGCGCTCAAAGTCTTTCTGAAAATGACCGATTTAGGGGTTTTCGACGACGCTCAACAAGTTTCTAATTGGAACCATATGTCTACTTAAAAACAAACTCTACTTAATCAGCTAACTGATCATTACGATTAGCCTCCTCTTCTATGTCCTTCTTGCAGTATAACTCACCTGCACAAACCGCATAAGTGTAGTTTTCACAACGCTTTTAAAACAAACTTGTAAAGCTTAAAAAAAAAAATAATAAAGACCCTATACAGTTGAACCTCGATTTTACGAAACCCGAATTTACGAATTTCCTGATTAGGGAACAAATTCGGATTCCCGTGCAGCCTATACCCGATTTTACAAAGTTCCCGATCTAACGAAATAATTAGCGGGTCCCGATAACTTCGAATGTAAGTATCGTAAATGCTGCATATAGTGTACTTGGTAGTTTTATTGTAGAGTAGTCCCTACCACCACGCTTCAGACTAAAGCACTCTCTCAAGACTATGCTAATAAAAAGCCCGTTCACCGTTGGAGACGAAATGATTTATACTCTGATTTAGGCAGTTTGAATGCAAGATTCGGCGGTAGAACTTTATATACCGTTCCTTTTTTACAGTCTGGTACGAGACCACAGACATCCGGAAGGCAGTGAAACCGTTTCTTTCGGACAGTTGGCAAGGCCTCGCAGGGATCTCGCCCAACCTTGCTGAACTCAGAGCTATCTGCCAGGTGGTTGCACCGTCGCCAGATGCAGGTCAGCCTTGGTGCACGTGGGAGTTCTGCTTGAGGACCTGAGACAGAGAATGACTAAGCTTAGATGTCAAATTATATGATTAAAAAGTTTGTTAAACATAATTAGCACGAAGGACAAACAAGAGAACAAAAAAGACAAAACTAGCACTATCATCTTCGTCTGCTTGTCTGTCCTTCCAGCCATTTATGATTATTATGCTTAACCAACTAGTCCACTTTAATTTGATTTGATCATAACCCAAAAGACCAATTTTCTTGTCATGGTATTTATGATGGGCTTCACCCAACATGCTGGCAAGTTGGGCTTCACCCAACTTGCCAGCATGATGTCAGGCTGATGCGCTTGTAATTGGACAGAGGCATACTGTTGTATAGTACACACTTGGATGTACTGCATCATTGTTTTATTCGAGATGTGTACTGTTGTGTTGGCGTTGTTCAACTACGGTTTTAGTTGCTCAGTATGCATCCTGTTCTTAAAGGTTTCGGAAAAGTTTTTTTGTTTGTTATGAGACAGAAATTTTCCATATTTCATTTGTTACAAACATGTTGGCAACTCTTCGCAAGAAGCCTTTGAATGCACAATGAGAATGCATGTCAGCATTTTAAAAAGCCAGAAGAACAGCATAGCTGCCTCTCATGTGAAGATCAAATGCGGCAAGGCTTTCTCTGTAACCTGCTCAGAAATATAAGTTATTTTGCTACAGTACGACAATTCTAAATGTTTCGCTTGACGGTTTTTATTATGGAGAGTTGGAGTTATCCTTTACTGCATGAGAACCATGCAATCGCTGTGTTTATGACCTTCAGAGTCGTTCCTGACGTCAAGAGCAAAGGAAGACCCGATCCAAGAGAGCATCCGGTTGGCTATGGCACTCGTCCCACACATTCGGGTCATTCTAGTTACCCTGGGACCCCTGGGAGCTCTGCTCATGGAGCATTCCCCGTCGCATCAGAGCACGGTGCGTGGCCACGAGATTTTTTTTCCCCCACATTGCCAACAGTCTTCTTGCGATGTGTCCCCTATGCTTGTCACACCGATCCAACAATTCAAGTAGCTTTTCATTAAAGTGTATAGAGTAGCATGTACATTTGTTTTATATGGTTCTACAAAACAAAAAGAATGCTGACCACATAAACACCTCTGTCTTAAAATTTATACCAAGTGATAATGTTTATTCGAAACAGATTAAAAAAAACTATCTTTACTGCCACGTGAATGAATTCGAAGTGCGAACAGCCGTCACAGTCTGGTGAGTACTTAACTAAAATTCGTTAATTAACCTTTTTAATTATTGAAAATAAACATAATTATTACTAGAAATTTACTGAGCGCATTTGAAACCACTAAGCTAGTAATTTCCAAAAAGACTTTGAGCACGTGAGAAGCGCTGTAGTGCGCTCGTTCAACTGGAGCAAGGCCACCGGGGCGATAAAGCGCCCGCGCGATTTTTCCGTCTCTTATCATAGCCCCAGCCTGGCACCTGTTTCACGAGTGGTACCTTTAGCGCACTACTATGCTTTCCACGCACTCAAACTCTTCCTAAGAATTGTTGATTTAGTGGTTTTGGATAACGCTCAGCAAGTTTTATGTTGGATTCATACGTATATTTTCACTAATGAAAAAGTTGAGTAACTAATTTTACTTGCTCACCAGACTGTGACGGTTGTTCGCGCCACGAATGTCCGCCGAGCTCAAGGAATATACAGGGAATACAGCATTCACGTAGCAGTGAAGACACCTTTCTTAAGAATTTGTTTTGAATAAAAAATATCCGTTGGTATATCGTAATGTCCCGAGCAAGCATCAGCCAACGTTTTGCAGATGACGTTGAAAAACTCGGGATGGATGGATGCTTGTTACGTTCTAGAGCCAATATTCCAAAGGGGCACATGATAGGGCACTTCACCGCTTGACATCATGGTGCTAGGAGAAGCGGCTGACGAGAAGGAGCAAGTGGTTTATTTATTTATTTATTGATACTTGAGGTGCACTAAGGGCCCATAGAGTGCAGTGGACATCCCTTGCATGGGCAATCATACACGGCACGCACAACGTAGCATGCGCATGTAACACACACAAAAAAGAAAACGTGCTATGGCGTCTTATAACACGTCGAACATAGCTATGGTATGGGTGATGTTGCTGCTTGATATGGCCATTGCTCAGTTTTCAAGCATTTAGAGAGTAGTGAGTGGGCACTTATTGTGCTATGGGCACATGCTCGGTTGTTTATGGTCGATACTATTAGAGCCCCATCGTGCAATCACGATGCATGAACATCTCTGACTACTCTTCCTGTTTGTCTCTTCCAGTCCCAAGTGAACATTGTTCATTACCCTGCAAGGAAATATGCAAGTGTTACGAGTGTATCTGGAGCAGGAGATTGGTACGATTGAATCTCTTCAAATGGCCTCAGCCTTTGAAATTATCCTAAGCCTTTTCTTTTGCGAGGGTAATCGTAGAGCCTTCTAGTTGTAACTTTTTCCACCCAGTCTAACCGGTGCCATGTTGTGTGGGATGCTGCGAGGACTCTCTTGGGACCACTGCCTGGCTGCTGGGCTTGAGGCCGCTCAGCTGTCCCTGGCTTCATCCGACACTGTGCCAGCAACACTGGGACCCGACTGCTTCTCTGCACGGATCCCAATGAGACCACGAAGAGTGTCCCTTCCCTAAGGTTACCTGGACATTCAACATCTTTGCCTGCGCCGTCTCGGTAGGTTTATGATGTATTTTCTTGAGGGACATTAGAATGCCACGAAGGTCTAAAATGAATTGAATTTGATTTCATCAAGTGTGTTCTAGATGTTCTGTATAGGTGGGTAGGCAATATTTGAAGCTATTGATATGTTTTCAACTGCCGTTTTGTAGCATTTAACATTCCAGAAATAACACGACTTCAAAGGAACTGCATACGAACCAAGAGTTGGTCCAAAGTCATGTGCAGCAGGCAATATTCTAACTTTTTGAACATAAATGGTGACAAATAGGACTAAAGGCTGGTTCACACACGTGCGACTGATTGCGACAGTGTGCTTTAAAACCGCCAAAAATATCTTAGGACGAAATAACCCACTGGCGCCACTTGTCGTGTAGCCTAGAACACTTACAGTCTTCGAATATTTCCTAGTTTTTGGCTCGTTATTCTTTTTTTCTTGGCTTGAACAGCTTTTGACAATTTTCTAGACCGGGGCTCTCCAAACGCCGGCCCGCGGGTCGGGTTTTGGAGAGCCCCGGCCCGCAGGCCGCCCGCTGAGGTCTTCCAGTGAGGCTCGACCCGTTTCGTGCAGGCCCGCTGCAACCGGCGCAAAAGCGCGCGGAAAAGAACGGCGCTGCGACGCGCACTATCGGCACAAAGGAAGATATAAAGAATTCGGGGTTGTGTGTGTTTATACAGCCTAGAACTTGGTCTGCCTCACAGGGGCGACGAGTCTCCCAGCTGTAGATGAGCAATTTAGACAGTGCGGTACAGCCGCTAGCCTGGGGTCTTTAACGTGCACCACGCAGTAGTGATACACGACCGCACGCCGGTACGATGCTCATCCAGATCGAAACGGGCAGGGGTGGGGCTGGAAAGCGCGAGCTTTCGCTCCACGTGCTCCGAGCTGGTGTGCGCTAGACCACTCGGCCACCGATCCCCCAAGGAAGATATACCGGAGAGAACGAGACAAAACTGCCCATCGTAACACAACTCCTTTCACTGTGTTTCTCGTTGGATATTGCCATCACCAGTATCATCATTCTTATTCCTCTGTTTCATATCTGTGTCAGTACGTTTGTTAAAATTCATTTGCGTTCCCATGTACATTGATTGTGTTTAGTGTCTTGTGTGTTGACTCTTGCATATTGTCAGCATCAGTACCACCGTTCTCATTTGTTTTCTACCCCGTGTGAGCGTGCCGAAATTCCTATGCGCTTTGATTTATTCCTGGTGAGTTTTCTGGGTCTCGGTTATTGCGTAACGTCATACTTGGCAAAATATTGAATTTCAAAGTAAAGTTTTTTTTTTTTTTTATGTTGATACAACATAGAATCCTTTTTTAAAATTTTTACTCTCTTTCAATGTCGTATTTAGATGCTTATCTAGGATTATTTATTTAGTTTTTTCTCATTTATATTAACTTATTATTTTCTTGCCCTTGAGACTGCGACAGATCTCCGACTCAGCCCCATAGCCCAAACGTTTCGAGACCCCAGTTCTAGGCGACTGTTTCTCATAGATAGTATGTACATTTGATCTAACGATGCTTGGATTTGGGCTAGTTGGCTTGTCATTCTGATGTATACTGCGCTGCAAAGTTTGATCTCTCAAATGCCGCCAAAACCTTCGCTCTAGTGAAGTGCAGTTCCAGGGCCACCTTAAAGATGGCGCCATCGTGCTACCGTGTTCTCTAGCTGTAGGAGATGACAAGAACTGGGTCCTAAACGCAAGTGTGTGAACGGGCCTTTACGTTGAAAATAATTTTGTAAACGGGAAAACGGAGGCAGCTGGCATGTATCGTAGAACGTTTCTCTGACCTTTTATTTGAGGTCACTAACAGACTGTTGCGCCTTTCAAGTCAATTTCCTGCATTGCCCATGAGCGACAACACGGGTGGCCACTTGATCACCATACGTGTAAATATAGCTGGAAGGAAACCCTAAGTTTTCTTGATATGAAAGATCTGGTCAATGGAAGGTTTGTCACTCTACAATGGCTTCGTTGGTACAGCGAAGGCTTTGCGTATATTCGGTTGAAAAGCGTTTAGATACAAACTCTAGTTTGTTTTATGTGCTTTGAAACTTTATCTGGAAACATTGGTGGTATTCAAAGCACCATATTTGCTATACGGCGTGGTGTAGGTTTTGCAAAGTGCGATCGCACATTTCAGGTGTGCAGGCTCCTGAGACAAGCCATGGCTCCGTGTGACATTGGACATAGAACTTGGATCAGCTACAAGAATCAGAAAAACAGTGCAGTCGGGTTCATGATGTATATTATTGTTCAAAAAAACATTCAAATTACGTGATAAATATTTTTTTTCAAATTCGTATCCTGTTTGTTGTTGAGTATGCTTGATAGGGGGATTCGCGTAATCCTGTTCCAAGAAAGCTCGCTTTGAGTGACATTAAAATACCAGCTCCTCGTTTAGTTTCACTGCATGGATTCTTGTGTACGAGAAGGAAAAGAGATTTGTACCTCACTATGTCTGTTTTATTCCTTCATCATGCATGTGTTAAATAATTGGGGAAACCATTATTGATTTAATAGGCGATTGTACGGGCTGAAATGATCAGAGTTGTGGAGAGTAGAGTATTTGGAGTGTTTTGTACTACCGCGCAAAGTCCGTTTTCATATGTGATAGAGGGTCAGACACCTCCACGCGAAATCACTTTTCACACAATACGGGGAAGAGTAGGTTAGACCTCCGCTCGAAGTAAATTTTCATACGTTACGGGGGATCGGAGGTCGGACACCTCCGCGAGAAGTCAGTTTTCACATGTAAAAGGGGCCCTGCAAGGACTTTTTTTACTGTTTTTTTTTTTTAAATTTGCACCGAACCTGGGCGCACTGAACGTAGTAACTGAGTGAATGTTTTCTTTTCTCAGATTTCGCTTTATTTTAAAAGTTATAGGCAAATTAGAATTACAAAAACAAGCAAAAAATAACCTCCCTCATGACGTCCTTGATTTCTTGAGTGGCCGTGAACTAGAGGAGGGGTAGTGAGCTCATCAAGCGCTCACAGCTGCCACGCTCCGTGTCGACGGCGCGAGAGGGCGCCACTAAAGCATGTTCAAGATAGGCTGTATGCAGCGAGCAGCCAGAGTGGCTCTCATTGCATTTGCTGCCCGATTAAATACTAATTCGGCATGACACTTCATTGCCCACAAACGACTGCAAACACGGGGTAAAGATCAGTTCAGAATGGCTTCACATGTTATGGGGGAGAGAAGGTCGTACACCTCCGCGCGAAGTCAGTTTTCACACGTTACTGGAGTGAGGAAGTCGAGCACCCGCGCGAAGTCTTCACGCGTTCTCGAGGAGTTGAGGTCGCACACCTCAGCGCGAAGTCAGTTTTCACGTTACTGGGGTGAGGAGGGTGGACACCTCCGCGCATAGTCCCTTTTCACATGTTATGGGGGACAGGAAGTCGGACACCTTCACGCGAAACCAGTTTTCAGATGTTGAAGGAGAGAGGAGGTCACACTCGCGCGAAGTAAGTCTTCACATGCTGTGGGGGAGAGAAGCTCGGACACCTCTGCGCGAAGTCAGTTTTCACACGTTACTGGGGTGAGGAAGTCGAGCACCCGCGCGAAGTCTTCACGCGTTCTCGAGGAGTTGAGGTCGCACACCTCAGCGCGAAGTCAGTTTTCACGTTACTGGGGTGAGGAGGGTGGACACCTCCGCGCATAGTCCCTTTTCACATGTTATGGGGGACAGGAAGTCGGACACCTTCACGCGAAACCAGTTTTCAGATGTTGAAGGAGAGAGGAGGTCACACTCGCGCGAAGTAAGTCTTCACATGCTGTGGGGGAGAGAAGCTCGGACACCTCAGCGCGAAGTCAGTTTTCACGTTACTGGGGTGAGGAGGGTGGACACCTCCGCGCATAGTCCCTTTTCACATGTTATGGGGGACAGGAAGTCGGACACCTTCACGCGAAACCAGTTTTCAGATGTTGAAGGAGAGAGGAGGTCACACTCGCGCGAAGTAAGTCTTCACATGCTGTGGGGGAGAGAAGCTCGGACACCTCTGCGCGAAGTCAGTTTTCACACGTTACTGGGGTGAGGAAGTCGAGCACCCGCGCGAAGTCTTCACGCGTTCTCGAGGAGTTGAGGTCGCACACCTCAGCGCGAAGTCAGTTTTCACGTTACTGGGGTGAGGAGGGTGGACACCTCCGCGCATAGTCCCTTTTCACATGTTATGGGGGACAGGAAGTCGGACACCTTCACGCGAAACCAGTTTTCAGATGTTGAAGGAGAGAGGAGGTCACACTCGCGCGAAGTAAGTCTTCACATGCTGTGGGGGAGAGAAGCTCGGACACCTCTGCGCGAAGTCAGTTTTCACACGTTACTGGGGTGAGGAAGTCGAGCACCCGCGCGAAGTCTTCACGCGTTCTCGAGGAGTTGAGGTCGCACACCTCAGCGCGAAGTCAGTTTTCACGTTACTGGGGTGAGGAGGGTGGACACCTCCGCGCATAGTCCCTTTTCACATGTTATGGGGGACAGGAAGTCGGACACCTTCACGCGAAACCAGTTTTCAGATGTTGAAGGAGAGAGGAGGTCACACTCGCGCGAAGTAAGTCTTCACATGCTGTGGGGGAGAGAAGCTCGGACACCTCAGCGCGAAGTCAGTTTTCACGTTACTGGGGTGAGGAGGGTGGACACCTCCGCGCATAGTCCCTTTTCACATGTTATGGGGGACAGGAAGTCGGACACCTTCACGCGAAACCAGTTTTCAGATGTTGAAGGAGAGAGGAGGTCACACTCGCGCGAAGTAAGTCTTCACATGCTGTGGGGGAGAGAAGCTCGGACACCTCTGCGCGAAGTCAGTTTTCACACGTTACTGGGGTGAGGAAGTCGAGCACCCGCGCGAAGTCTTCACGCGTTCTCGAGGAGTTGAGGTCGCACACCTCAGCGCGAAGTCAGTTTTCACGTTACTGGGGTGAGGAGGGTGGACACCTCCGCGCATAGTCCCTTTTCACATGTTATGGGGGACAGGAAGTCGGACACCTTCACGCGAAACCAGTTTTCAGATGTTGAAGGAGAGAGGAGGTCACACTCGCGCGAAGTAAGTCTTCACATGCTGTGGGGGAGAGAAGCTCGGACACCTCAGCGCGAAGTCAGTTTTCACACGTTACTGGGGTGAGGAAGTCGAGCACCCGCGCGAAGTCTTCACGCGTTCTCGAGGAGTTGAGGTCGCACACCTCAGCGCGAAGTCAGTTTTCACGTTACTGGGGTGAGGAGGGTGGACACCTCCGCGCATAGTCCCTTTTCACATGTTATGGGGGACAGGAAGTCGGACACCTTCACGCGAAACCAGTTTTCAGATGTTGAAGGAGAGAGGAGGTCACACTCGCGCGAAGTAAGTCTTCACATGCTGTGGGGGAGAGAAGCTCGGACACCTCAGCGCGAAGTCAGTTTTCACGTTACTGGGGTGAGGAGGGTGGACACCTCCGCGCATAGTCCCTTTTCACATGTTATGGGGGACAGGAAGTCGGACACCTTCACGCGAAACCAGTTTTCAGATGTTGAAGGAGAGAGGAGGTCACACTCGCGCGAAGTAAGTCTTCACATGCTGTGGGGGAGAGAAGCTCGGACACCTCTGCGCGAAGTCAGTTTTCACACGTTACTGGGGTGAGGAAGTCGAGCACCCGCGCGAAGTCTTCACGCGTTCTCGAGGAGTTGAGGTCGCACACCTCAGCGCGAAGTCAGTTTTCACGTTACTGGGGTGAGGAGGGTGGACACCTCCGCGCATAGTCCCTTTTCACATGTTATGGGGGACAGGAAGTCGGACACCTTCACGCGAAACCAGTTTTCAGATGTTGAAGGAGAGAGGAGGTCACACTCGCGCGAAGTAAGTCTTCACATGCTGTGGGGGAGAGAAGCTCGGACACCTCAGCGCGAAGTCAGTTTTCACGTTACTGGGGTGAGGAGGGTGGACACCTCCGCGCATAGTCCCTTTTCACATGTTATGGGGGACAGGAAGTCGGACACCTTCACGCGAAACCAGTTTTCAGATGTTGAAGGAGAGAGGAGGTCACACTCGCGCGAAGTAAGTCTTCACATGCTGTGGGGGAGAGAAGCTCGGACACCTCTGCGCGAAGTCAGTTTTCACACGTTACTGGGGTGAGGAAGTCGAGCACCCGCGCGAAGTCTTCACGCGTTCTCGAGGAGTTGAGGTCGCACACCTCAGCGCGAAGTCAGTTTTCACGTTACTGGGGTGAGGAGGGTGGACACCTCCGCGCATAGTCCCTTTTCACATGTTATGGGGGACAGGAAGTCGGACACCTTCACGCGAAACCAGTTTTCAGATGTTGAAGGAGAGAGGAGGTCACACTCGCGCGAAGTAAGTCTTCACATGCTGTGGGGGAGAGAAGCTCGGACACCTCTGCGCGAAGTCAGTTTTCACACGTTACTGGAGTGAGGAAGTCGAGCACCCGCGCGAAGTCTTCACGCGTTCTCGAGGAGTTGAGGTCGCACACCTCAGCGCGAAGTCAGTTTTCACGTTACTGGGGTGAGGAGGGTGGACACCTCCGCGCATAGTCCCTTTTCACATGTTATGGGGGACAGGAAGTCGGACACCTTCACGCGAAACCAGTTTTCAGATGTTGAAGGAGAGAGGAGGTCACACTCGCGCGAAGTAAGTCTTCACATGCTGTGGGGGAGAGAAGCTCGGACACCTCTGCGCGAAGTCAGTTTTCACACGTTACTGGGGTGAGGAAGTCGAGCACCCGCGCGAAGTCTTCACGCGTTCTCGAGGAGTTGAGGTCGCACACCTCAGCGCGAAGTCAGTTTTCACGTTACTGGGGTGAGGAGGGTGGACACCTCCGCGCATAGTCCCTTTTCACATGTTATGGGGGACAGGAAGTCGGACACCTTCACGCGAAACCAGTTTTCAGATGTTGAAGGAGAGAGGAGGTCACACTCGCGCGAAGTAAGTCTTCACATGCTGTGGGGGAGAGAAGCTCGGACACCTCTGCGCGAAGTCAGTTTTCACACGTTACTGGGGTGAGGAAGTCGAGCACCCGCGCGAAGTCTTCACGCGTTCTCGAGGAGTTGAGGTCGCACACCTCAGCGCGAAGTCAGTTTTCACGTTACTGGGGTGAGGAGGGTGGACACCTCCGCGCATAGTCCCTTTTCACATGTTATGGGGGACAGGAAGTCGGACACCTTCACGCGAAACCAGTTTTCAGATGTTGAAGGAGAGAGGAGGTCACACTCGCGCGAAGTAAGTCTTCACATGCTGTGGGGGAGAGAAGCTCGGACACCTCTGCGCGAAGTCAGTTTTCACACGTTACTGGGGTGAGGAAGTCGAGCACCCGCGCGAAGTCTTCACGCGTTCTCGAGGAGTTGAGGTCGCACACCTCAGCGCGAAGTCAGTTTTCACGTTACTGGGGTGAGGAGGGTGGACACCTCCGCGCATAGT